GGTTAGCAGCAAAGGGGTATACTTAGTCATTCGGCATTGACTATCAAGAAACTTTTGCTCCAGTTGCCAAAATGAACACCATCATAGTCTTATTATCCTTGGCAACGAATTTTAATTGGCCTTTGAAACAATTTGATGTAAAGAACGCATTCATTCATGGAGATTTGGAAGAGGAAGTGCATATGCATCTCCCACCTGAATTCAATACTCCACATTCTAGTGGAAAAGTTTGCAGATTGCGAAAAAAAATTGGTTATCACCAAGGCGACTCAGATCACACTCTATTTATCAAACGTAAGAATGGTAGAGTTACATTGCTCATCATCTATGTAGACGATATGATCGTAACTGGTGATGACACAGATGAAATGAAAAGGCTACAAGAATGCTTGTCTTCTGAATTTGAAATGAAAGATTTAGGAGGACTGAAATATTTTTTGGGGATTGAAGTTGCAAGGTCCAAGGATGGTATATATTTGTCACAACGAAAGTATATACTAGATCTCTTATCCGAAATCGGTATGCTGGAATGTAAACCAATAGAGACTCCTATTGTTCAAAATCATCGCCTTGCCATTTACCCAGATCAAGTACCAACCAACATTAATTTACTTGTCCCACACACGTCCAGACATTGCCTATGCCGTTAGTGTGGTAAGTCAGTTTATGCATGCTCTAAGTAAAGATCATATGGCTGCTGTAATGAGAATTTTGAGTTACCTAAAGGGAGCTCCAGGAAAAGGACTGACATTCAAGAGACATGTACATATGAAAGTGAAAGGATTCACCAATGCGGATTGGGCAGGAAACATCACTGACAGAAGGTCCACCTCTGGCTACTTTACATTTGTTGCTGGAAATCTTGTCACGTGGAGAGGCAAAAAACAAAATGTAACAGCAATGTCTCCAGCAGAAGCAGAATATAGAGGTATGGTTCTTGGGATATGTGAACTTTTATGGCTTAGGATCTTGCTTATTGAAATAGGTTCCAAGCCAAAGGAACCTATGCTATTATCTGTGACAATCAAGCAGCTCGGGAAATAGCTAATAATCCGGTATAACATGATCGAACTAAACACACTGAGGTAGATCGACGCTTCATCAAAGAGAAGCCGAATCTGAAGTTGGTGGACATTCCTTTCATTCGATCAAGTGAGCAGCTAGCAGACATTCTAACTCATGCAGTTTCTGCTAAAATTCTTCATAAATCTCTGGACAAGTTAGGCTTAGAAGACATCTACGCACCAACTTGAGAGGGAATGTTAGCATGTGATTAGCTAAATTATAGGTAATTTGTATGGAAAGGAGTATATCTTCCTATATGATAGAGATATATTATAGGAGAATGATTGATATACCTTGATGTACTCCTTTGATATACAATCTGTGTTATGTAATCTGCCTATATAAAGGCTTTCTCCAAGAAGAAATAAAGTACACCAAAAAAAACCTTAAACTACAACATGCTGGGGGTACATCGTCAGAAGTCCAAATTACATTTTCTGTAAGTGACATAAAACTCATCTAACTTGGAGTTTACAAGACACAACAGAGCAAGATAAGCAGCATCCCTTGAAGTTTTAAGTACAATCTTGGCAGTTAAGCTACCTTGACGACCATCAACTGATCTGACAGGAATCCCACGTTGTTGGCAGCATGCCGAAGAAAATAATCACATGCCATTTCCAAAATAGCTATATTGGCAGCAATCTGCATTGCCTGAGAGACCTCGATGGTGCCGCTATGCATTGTGTTAAGTATGAATTCATTTAGGATATCAATCAAGAGTTTGTCCAGGTACTTCCTCACAATTTCAAAAAATTTCATCTACACCCTATAAGACAAGTAATTAACAGAGTCCTTTGTAACTGATCGAACTGTTAGATTGACTAATTCTGGAATGAGTCAATCACTCCTTCACAATTAGAGTCAATCACCCATTTTCATTGTAGAATGAGTCAATCACTCCTTCCCCAATTATAGCCTTGTGTTAGCTGTACAGTCAATTACTCCTTTCATTTCTATAAATTGTTAAACTCGTGTGTATTTAGGGATATCAATACAATTGTTTTGGTATCTTGGCCAAAACAATTCATCTCTTTATTGATTCTTTCTCGAACAATCCGACAGCATTCAGGTAGCACAGAAGAGAATGAGGGAATGTATGCGAAAGCCAGCATTATATCTGATGCTTGAAGATGGAATATAAGAACATCTGTGTGGTAGTTTGACTCCTTTTTCATGACCAGTGTCTCCGGCATTATATCTGATGCTTGAAGATGGAATATAAGAACATCTGTGTGGTAGTCTGACTCCTTTTTCATGACCAGTGTCACTGGCAAGGACTTCAGTGATCTGTTGTCAACACTCTGCTAAAAGAAGCTCGTGATATTTGTCACTACTACTGTTTCAATGTCTCAAGAATTGAGCCCACTTCATAACCGTATTTTTTAGGGGTTGCCCCAAGAAGAGTCGCATAATCCTCCACCAGGAAGAGATGGCTTGCTGTATCCATATGCGAAAATTGTTCCTCCAAGATTGAAGTTATTTTAGCCGCATCCGTTTCCCACATCGTCTCAAGCTGCTTTGGTGAGAGCGGCCCACTGGCAGTCCTTAAGACTCTATCTTCAACAATAAAACAACCAGCAATTAGAGCAAAAAAGGTCTGATGGGATTCAGTGCAGAGGATATTTGCAAATCTGACTTCAGCTGCAGAAACCGATTTTTGTAATAATAGTTAAGGAACTGCTCTTGAATTCCAAGACAAATGTGAATGTGGCATGCCCGATAAAGAGGCGTGAGGTCGAATTTTATAACAGAATTTTCATCAATTTCTTCAACATCCAATGTGTAAGCGATCTCCTGAGCCCAAACAACTTTGTTCCTCAGCTTTCCTTCAACAAACCAGCGTATCCTCATCCCTCTGACAAGCAGATGCAGCATACTCTATAGCAGTTTGCCCAATATCCTTCGCACTGCTCCTTCTGTGAACTAACCATTCATTAACCTCGTGCAGACCTTCTTCTCAATGTGCGACTTTATCAATGGTTTTCTCTTCTCAATAAGCATCTTGAGTGCCTTTACAGGAATATTCTGTGGATAATTTTTCTCAATCTGATCAACAGCTTTGAAAGCCGGGTAAAACCAACCTTCTGAATTATGATTATTATAGTTCAAACAAAGATCCAAAGCGAGAACACAGTTCTTTAACGTCTTAATGGCTTCAGCAACATTCTTAATCAAATAAGATTCGAGGAGCTCTTCAAGTTTCAAAGTAGGGTGCTCCCAACCTCTTGTAACCTAAAACTCTCATTTGCGAGCTCGCTTTTCAGCTCTTCTGCATCAACTAAGACACCACGAAGCTCATCAACAGCAAGTATAAAATCCTCATAATGGAGCTTGCAAAGTTCCTCAATTTCAACTTCTTTTTTTCTCACTACATTCTTAAGCCGTTGCATATGGGCGGCTTCCATGTCTCAAAAGCAAGTCGGACCATAGGTCCCAAATCCTCCCCATTACTGACCATAGTACTTAGAACAGAGTCCTCACCAGCCTGCCTCGCTCATCTTCATTTCAGCACTCATTTTTCTAATCAAAACCCCGGTGTTAATCAAAGACAAGATACTTCAGTAAATCAACACTCCTAACATAACCAAGACTCTCAAAATCAAAAATGAAAACACATAACTGATTAAAAATGTATATCCCCAGTATTTAAATAATCGAATGCAAGTGTATAAGCAAAATCTTACCCAGATTGATATAAGGTTTCGTTGAGCAACAATAATAACTACAAGAAATGGCGATACAGAAAAACCCATTATGGAAAGAAGCTTCAAGCACCTATTTTCAGAAGATTTTGGGAACCACATTTTTTGATCCATTTTCTACTTAAATACCCATTATTTGATCCAAATTAATATCCAAAAATAGAAAAGAAAAAATGGTCTTACAAGTGGGTTTTCATTGATGAAATCTATCAATCACTTTCATCAAGAAAACTCTATATGCACTAAACTAAATACAGAAAAATAGAAGATTGTATACTTTAATGGGTTCAGCATATAAATAGAAATATACAAGCAACACAATCATCAAGAAAGAAATTTGTGAATCGAATAATTCAAGAAAAGTTATAAAAGATCACTCTTTTACCTGAAAGAACAGAATCTTGATTCTTACGGTAATCAGACGCTGAGAGTAAGAATTCTCTTTACTCAAAATGTGTGTTGAACTTGAATCTTCCTTTTTCGTGTAATCTTAACCTTTCTGGTGTTTTTCTTTGGTTTGAGATTTCTCTGTGTATTCTTTTTGATGTTTTTTATGATAAGTACAGCTACAGTTAATATTATTCCTGCCGTTTTACGGGGATTATTGGAGACATTCTGACTTGGAACAAAGTCGAATAAAGCAACAATCATTACAGTAATTCATTAATTTCTGGCTTTCATTTCAATTGTCGATTTTGCGTCGGTACTTTTGTGTGCAATAATAGTTAATATCCAGCTCATGTGAAATAGTAGCCCGCGTTCGTAGTTATGTTTTATGAGTTTTATGGCTCTAATATTATCTTTCCTATATATCCTTATTTTTATTATATAAAACATACCACTTGACACTAATAATTTGAATAGCGTTCAAGAATTTCTCACACCCAGACTTGTAAAGCCCCTCAACAAACCTTTCGCCTAATTGGCTAGCAAACTCTACTTAGACGAACACATAGGACTTTAGCTAGAAAACGACAATTATACTCGCATATGATGCACGTACAATCAATAGTACGAGCCACAAACAACTTACGACAATCCTATCGAGGGACTTGAGTTAGACATGGGCTGCAACCACACTAACGACTCGATTCAAGTTCTAAGTTACAATCAGTTCATCTAAAATAGTTTCATGTCCATGAATGGAGTCATGATCAAGTCACTTCCCTTGAAAAGTTGAAAAAGGAAATATAATGTTACTTTAACTCACCTAGGAAGAGGCTTATCCCAAACCAAATCTCATCCAAATTGTGGATAACAAAAGCAGCTGCCCAACTGTCTTAACCACCTCTTTAAATCACAAAATCCCACTCTCTTCTTCACTCTCAATCAAAAAAAATGGCAGCAGCTTCAGCGCCACCAGTCTCTACCAACTTCTCCTCCGCAACTCCAACCTCAAAACCCATATCTATGTACTCAAATTCTTCTAAACTTACTCTAAAAGCCCATCAAAGTTCCAAAGAATTGACCTCTATTTCAAGAAGACAATTCTTGAATGGATCGCTTGCTTTAGTTCCACTAGTGATATCTCCGCCCCCACCTTCTCAGGCAAAGGAAATTGAAGTGGGATCTTACCTTCCTAAGTCACCGGTCGACCCTTCTTTTGTTCTCTTCAAAGCCACCCCTAAAGATACCCCTGCTCTTCGTGCAGGTAATATTTGTATCATGTTGTTAATTGATTGAAATATGTTTTCTTCAGTTGTCTGTACACATTCTTGCAATTCTATATTAATATTGTGATTTACGTGGCGTGGTCTTAAAATCAAGTCTCATTGTGATTTTTAAAAATTGCGAGCGTTTATTTTGAAGAGGAATCCAATGTGCATACTGTGGAAATTGTGTACATCGTTAGTAAGTTTTACTGTAAAGTGTTGCCCTTTATGCACCATCGTTTCTTTGGACTAATTGTTCTTTGTACAGTGGTGATGTCAATATACAATTGAAAACTATGCTTTTTGTTAACATTAACATTTAAAACTGTTGGAAATTATGTTGGTGAAATGATACCGAGTTTTCTCATACCGATTTATAATATTAGTTAATTACACAATAAACTAAATTATCATAAACCACAATATATTAATCTAATTTAGAACTAAATTATATTAAGTTATTTAAAATACGTCAATTTAATAAATCTAAACGGGAAAGCTGAAATTTAACAGAAATTTCATAGGGAAAAAAAATAAATTAACGATATGCTTATAACTTCATATAAACTTTTAACCCGAGGTCTTTATAAACACAGTGTCCTTAAAACAGATTCGCCCTCTCACCGTACATGCTTGAGTTTTAATCTAAGCTTCTGTTTCCCAAAATACAATGGTATATAGTAGAATCTGAGCACCGCAGTTACTACTCTGGCGAACTGATCTAGTATCCGAACAATATCACCACAAGAACAAGACCTTACTGGACAAGGAATGCAGAAAAGAAGAAACTGTGTATGCAGGAATGTAGGTGAGATTTTCGAGTGTGTTGGAGAATGAGCCTTTTTATAGGCATACTGGGAGTCCATTGGAGTTTTTGCAGTTTTAGAAACTCAAAAGTCATTGGAGAAAGCAAAAAATTGCAAAATCTGGGCTCTCCGAAGGGGTGAATTTTGCCTTGTTCGGTCCGACATTCATGTGAGCAGGTCGCGCCCAAGTTCAAGGTCCGAAGGCTATTTTGGTCCGAGATTTGCACCCTCCATGTGCGTGCACGTGAAGAGAGCCTCTATGCTACACATGATAACACCATTCCAAAGTGTAGGCATATATAAAGTGGTTCATACTTTTTTCATTTTCCTATGTAGGACAAATGTCACTTTTCCCACATAAACTATTTTCCAATGGTCAACTTTGAGCTCTAATTTCTCATTCATCCGTTAATCAATTTTGGCAAGTAAATATATGGTTTCGATACTCTCACGGAAGAGAACACAGATCAACTTTGATTTTTCAAATCGGACCAATGGGTCCCACTCAAACTTATGCCAAAAGTGACTCATTTACTCATTTTTCCAACAAAAACTACCAAGTTAGTTGAGAATAAAAGTATGTTAAATCATTAGTTCGAATAATGGAGGAATACTTTGGAATCTAAAGGTTTAAGTTGACAAGAACCTAGACAAAATACATACGATGAGTGTTGTCTGCAAAAGTGACTGGTTTAGGATTTAGGGTTGATTATTAATAATGAAGGAGGAATGGAAAGGATATAATGCATAAGATTATAGCGGGTAGGATGAAATCGAGAAGTGTTACAGGAATTCTGTATAATTAGATGATCCTATTAATTAAAAGGTTCGACGGAATTGTTGTTAGACCTGTTGTGCTTTGTGGTACTGGGCTGTTAAAGGACAAAATGTCCATAGATGAATGTAGTGGAGAATATAATGCTAAGATGATGTGTAGATGTACTAAAATAGATAAGAAACGATAATATGTGGAAGTGACGTTGATTGTGGATAAATAAAGGGAGGACTATATTAGGTGGTTGGAACATGGTTTGCATAGAGCTAAAGAGGCTCATTCATTATAAGAATCTGGTTGCTTTGGAGCTTTCACTAGATCTGGCAATGCAGAGTGGTGAAGAAGGATTCATTAGCCAACTCCAAATTTATTGGGAACGAGACTTTGTTTGTTATAGGTGTATATGGCTATTTGCTGCTACTCAAAGAAACTGCCATACATAACACCGTTATTGTATATCTACAGAAATTATAGAATTTATAAACACCAATGTATCATTTCCAATTTCCTTTTGGCAAAAACATTTAGGCTGGGGTGACTTTCACAGTACTACACAGTTTAAATAGAGTCTTTTCTTTTATCAGTTGTCACATTTTAGTATTAGAGACAGTTCATGGCAATCAATGTTATACATGTTTGAAACATAGACTTCCATGTCAAGTAACTTGAATATGCAATAAATGGACATCGCTTAGCCCTGTACTTTCACTAATAATCATGTTTTATAGCATCCGAGTATTGGTATTAGCAAACGAAGCCTTTGGAATAGATCCTCATCCTCCAAGGTGAAGTATTTAAGAGAAGTTAAATTTTTTTTCTTTTTTTACCATGTCTAAACATGTTTCATCCATCCTTTCATTGAGGTCGCTGACGATTGCTAATGTTACATCATCTATCATATTTGTTCTTCTATTTGGGCAAAATTCTGTTTTATGAAGAAAGAAAATGGTGATATGGCTATGACTCAAATGTCTAATATTAGACTGGTTGTCACAAATTCCTAGTTCAGATATTGCAAATATATGGGGGACAATCTTTGAAGCATTACTGGATATCATAAAGTTCTAGCTTCTTTAAAGTAGGAAACTCAAACTGTGTTTTTAGGAGAGAATAAAACCACTTGGAAATATCGGTGAAAGATCTGAATGCTCCTTCACTCTCAATGAGGAAAAGGAAAAGTGGATTACTTCTAGTTTGTCAAATTCTTTGCTTATGGAATATCTCTTATAATTACTATTAGAATTATGTCACTGACTGATGCTTAATAATTTCATTAGCTAAGGTCCATGCAGAATTAGCTTCCTGTTTCTGAGATTTTAGGTATTAAAATATATTTAATTTAATGATTTCATTTATATCGACTACATAACTAACAGCAAATGAGGTTATATATCTAATGAATGATGTTCTATGCATGTTGGGAACTTGCATTTATCTAGGATTTTCATGTTGAACTATTGAGATTTGCTGTGATAAGTTCCGATATAAAAATGGAGAATTGAGCTCCATATCCTGTTGATCAGTTCATTCAAAAATTAGGATCAGAGGTGATGAGGACATCGGACGACGTTTACTTATTTTATTTAAGCTTTATTTATTTTCTTGGACTATTATTTAAATTTGGACTTGTATGGGCTCGGGGCCAAGCTCGTTAAAGTTGCTTTACTATTTAAACCTATTTTACATTGTAATTTTCAGTTTTGATGAATTGAAGAATATTTTGATGGTTTGTTGCCTATGACTTCTCCTTCCTCTCCCTCTCCCTCTCCCCCATGAATTTTTGCTTCTTCTCCGATTTCTCCTTCCATTCTCTCCGGTTCTCTTCTCTTTCTTGCTTCTTCTTTCTATTTTTTTTAATTCGTCCTACATCAAATTTGGTATCAAATCCTAAACTTGAGTAATCTCTCATCTCCAATCCAAACTCTAGATTTTTTCTGCAATTTCAATTCACACCCCAGCAGAAAAAAATAAAAATTCGTGTTACTGTTCACGGGTACAATTCACACCCGAAAATTCATTTTTTTGTATTATCAGCTTCCAAAAAAAAAAAAAAGTTAGTGTTCATGCCCCCAAAAAAAAAAAAATCTCGTTTTTTTCCAGCTACTGCTGCTCATAAATAAAAATAATAATTGTGGTGTTGTTCCACAAATCTCAAACCCTAGCATTCAAGCCCAATTAGCCCTTCAGCCTATATATTCCATCTCTATAATCTACTCCATTCATATTTTTTTATCAAAACACTTTGGCCATAAGCTAGTGGCCCAAATTACTCTCAAAGTCCACTAAATGCACAGCCCATCTCTCATCATCTATTTAGTCAATCTACTTGTTTTCCGGCCCAATAAACATTAAATCCAATCCACTTATCACATATTATCACAATCGACCCAACACCATTCAACCCATAACCGGTCCCAAATTCGCGCAGCCCATAACCCTAGCCCATTATATATAACACTTAACCCCGCCTACATCTACAATACCCAATCAACCCAAACCCTAAGCTCCTCTTTCGTCGTCGATATCCCACAGTCACCACACTTTCTGCGACCGCCCTCACCACCAATTGCCAGCAACCCACTGCCATGCCAGTTGTCACCTACGACTCGGAATTCAGTTTTCGCTTTACTTTTCACGTCAGTGGACTTCTTCCGAGTTCAGAGTGCCAGGGAGATTTGTTGAATTGGATTTGGCTTATTATTTGCATTGGGACAGCTTTTTAAAGCTCTTGAGGATTAGTGTTCCATTCAGCGACTCAACTGCTTAGGAGTATTCCATTATAATTTTCTATTGGAGATGTGCCAACTGGGGAATCATAATTGGGCACAGTTCTAATTTTTTGGGTCCTGAAGTACATCGCCATCAAGTTTGAGCTTCCGTGGGCACCATCGCTGCCACTAAACAACAGGGAGTGCTTGATTTATATTTGTCATTGGTTTACAATACTGCTTCATTTAAAATTGCATTAATTAAATTTTTGTGATGTTATTCTACCAATATATCTAAAGTCACGCGACTGAATCAGTTGATTTTGTCAAAACCCTATTTTACCCTACTTATGTTACATGATTAGTTTTTTACTAGTATTTGATCCGTGCTTTATTATTTTACATAGATAAGCAGTATTAGCTTGCCTTATTTGAATTTATTTAACCTTGAAAAAAAATGCTTTGTTTGTTATTTTTCATTTTTTACATTTATTGTTCATTGATCTCATCATTGCACATCATTTAACTGGTATTACATTGCATGTAGTTGCGTAGTGGTCGTCTTGTCGTCTTTATTTCCAATACATTGATCATGGATCCATCCCCATTTGATGCACTCACTATACAATTAGTGCAACTTGCCACTAGCCTATCGACTATCCAATCAGATATAATTGCTATTCGTGAGGAGAGAAAGAAATTAGCTGATAAGTTGAGCAATTTTAAGCAAACCCCTCGTTTAATTGACACTAATTCTGAAGCGTCTCATAATAGACAATATCGTCGTGGATAAAGTGATCAAAAATATTTTCGACACCATCGTAGGAATAGGGATCAGGTTCGTGAGCTAGAACAAGGCCATCATGATGAGCGTTTCTTTAAAGACATTGACTTAGATACTCCTACTTTCGATGGTTGCTTAGATCATGAAATTTTTACGCAATGGAACACCCTTACACAAGAGAATCGGCTAGTAACTGAATACATTGCTCAATTTGAGGAATTTCGAGTGAAATGTCATGTCATTGAGGATGAGGCTCTGACTTTAAGTAGGTTTATACAAGGTCTACGAGATAAACTTAGGCGTGAGCTTTTCTTTCGAGGCATCACTACTCTTGATCAAGCTTACTCTTCAGCTTGGGACTACGAGTTACTTATTAGTACTGCATATGAAAAGCGTGATCACCATCATTCACCCATCTCATTAGCGTCGTCTCATCATAAGTCTATCATAAAGCCTTCCTAATCTAGTGTTCCTTCCCTTTGGAAAAACAAGCGTGAAGGTCGTGATAGCCCAAGGTCGTCTTCTTCATGTAGAAAGCGTAACGACAATCATCATTCAGTTTCATTGGCTCCACTTCCTCTTGTTAAGTCCCTTCTAGGACCTCCCCCATCTAGTGTTCCTCCCATTTGGAAAAATAAGTGTAAAGGTCGTGATAGTCCAAGGCCCCCTTCTCCTTATAGAAGGCATTCTTCCATCTCATTGGCTCCACCTCCGCCTGCTAAGTTTCTTCTAGGACCTCCCCCGTCTAATGTTTCTCAAATCTTAGAAAATAAGTGTAAAATTTTTGAAACTCCAGGGACTTCTTCTCACCTGCTATGCATCAGCTGTAAGGACTTTGGCCACATCTCTTCCAAATGTCCTAACCGAGCCTTAGTCATAGAAGAACGAAAGGATGTAATAGAAGAGTCGTTAGAAGATCTAGTCTATGAGTATAAACTTGAAGATTTTGATGACTTGTGTTGGGTGTTATCACACCTGTCATACCCACCCGGGCCAATGGCCCACTCATCCTGATCCACGTGGCGTTCTTGTCGAGGTGGAACACATTGCCGAGGTGGGCTACATCCGAACTGCTTGAGCCGAGGTCCATCCACCGAGGCACCACGATCCGACGTACTCTGCCGAAACCCAACTACCGAGCCCCATGACCCAAAGCATGTAACCTGTTGAAATTAGCTGAGGTCCTCAGGTGGAGGTAGTTGTCAAATGGTCGAAGCCCCGAAGCTGATGCGCGAGCCCCCTAACCACAAGGAGTTCCTCCACTATCACTTCTCTTAAGAGATCGCCTGCTCAGAGATCTTATTCGAATGACTGATGGAACGTTTGTCACAAGCATAAAGGTCAAGTCTTGTCACTAGTATAAAGGACCTGCGCAAGCAATAAATGCGCCGTAAGCTAGCAAGTCAAGTCCCATACCTAAGAACAGACGTTTGAACTAAGGGGATGAAGCCACGTGCCACTTCATCCAAGGGCTCCCATTTCATATGTATCACTATAAATACTCACATTGTGTAATGTCAAAGGCTAATGCAAGAATCAATACTAAAAACTACATTTACTCAACTCTCTCTCATTTACTTTCAATACACAAATCGAGTTTATACACTTTCACATATATATTTACGAGCACCGATTGGTAATTTACGAACAACCCATCGGATTCCGAACGTTACCGTCCCGCGTCGTTGGGCTACTCCCACGCCCCTTTAAACAACTCGTTTTAGACCGTCCACGTGTCTTAGCATGTTGGACATTCGCCCACACAAGCGCAGGTAGGACCGGCATCTGTTGACGCACTTTTTGGGGTCAACAACTTGGATGATAGTGAGGACACTTCCTTAAGTGGAATCTCGACTCTTCCCGAGACTTTAGAAACTATACCCCTTGTTTCCGACAACTCTCGATCACATGTTATATGTCACACCCTTACCCAACTCAAAGAGTTTGATGATTTCACTAGTCATCCTTGGAGAATCCAGTCGCCTGTTCTTAGCACTAAATCAAAATTCTCCACTACTGACCAACCTCAAACTGATGATCAGTCAAAACGAAATTGCTAACCGAAGTCTTGGCAATTTATTACAGTATCTAGTCCAGAAAAATCTTGAGAATTAGGACTCGATCCCCCCAATTGTTCATATCGCATATAACAATTCTATGAATCGGTCTCTAGGTCTAAATCCATTTGAAGTTGTTCATAATTATAAGTCTAGGCGACCGTTAGATCTTATTCCCATGTCCCCGCATGCTAGTGTATCATTGTCAACTGAAGCATTTGTATATCATCTTCATGACTTGCATATTGAGATCAATAAACAACATGACGCAAGTAATGCATTATATAAACTTCAAGTTGATTTGCATAAACGATATTTTGAATTTAATATTGGGGATTATGTCATATTGCAAGCTTGTAGTGCTGGTCCTTTAAAAATTTTAAAGCATGTTGGTTCAAATGCACATGTCATTGCCCTTTCGTCACATTTTGGCTACCACTCTGCTTTAAATATTGAGAACTTCATTACTTACAAACACCGTATTACTTCATTTGATGATCCATTTCTACCTAACTTTGTGGACCCCCAATTTGACTATATTGATATTTCTACTTTAATACCATCTATCACAGCACACAAAGATAAAATTGATGTTATTTTAGATGAACGTGTTGTATTGACCAATGATGGCAAAATTCAGTACTTCGGTAGATCGACGTACTTCTTATGCTCCTCATTATGTACCATTATGTGAAAATTTTGAAGATGAGGTGCATGAGTATTGGTTATTTGAAGTCCAATATCAGTACTTGGTTAGAAGGAAAGATCACCCCCTTGGTCAGATCATATTCTTGGGAATAAGCTACAGTTTTCAGTACTATCAATTATGGAATTTCGTTACTTGGTTCGTCAGAAAGATCGTCTCCCATGGCTTGACTTGAAGCATTTGGAGTATCAGATTGACTGCAGCATATACTATCTATCAACTCGACAGGGTCGAGTTTTCCTCCCACCTCAGGAGAGTTGATGAGAATATCGGACGACGTTTACTTATTTTATTTAAATTTTATTTATTTTCTTGGACTATTATTTAAATTTGGACTTGTATGGGCTTGGCCCCAAGCTCGTTAGGGTTGCTTTACTATTTAAATTTATTTTGCATTATAATTTTCAGTTTTGATGAATTGAAGAATATTTTGGTGGTTTGATGCTTATGACTTCTCCTTCCTCTCCCTCCCCCTCTCTCCCATGAATTTCTGCTTCTTCTCCGGTTTCTCCCCTCTTTTTTGCTTCTTCTTTCTATTTTTTTAATTCGTCTTGCACCAAGGGGGCTATAAAATTTGTGTATGAAGAGGTACTAAAGAAGCTCCTCTTCATTTGTGCAAAGCATGCTCTTCTGAACATGTCATGAGAGGGAGGGATAGACCAAAACTAACACGGCATGCAGCTTCTTAAAATGTAATTGCTTTAGATATTCGAGTAGCTAGCAATAAATTGAAAAGACTGGCAATGAAGGATTCTATATGCTAGGTCTTAATGAATTTGGTGTTCGTTTTCTATATGCTTATGAAACTCTGAATCTAGTTGTCTGCAGGAAATGTACAGCCCTACCAGTTTATCCTTCCACCAACTTGGAAACAGCTACGTGTAGCCAATATACTATCTGGAAATTATTGTCAACCTAAGTGTGCAGAGCCTTGGGTCGAAGTAAAATTTGAAGATGAAAAACAGGGAAAGGTTCAGGTGGTAGCCTCTCCTTTGATACGCCTGACGAACAAACCCAGTGCGACGATTGAAGACATTGGGAGTCCTGATAAGCTCATTGCTTCCCTTGGACCTTTTGTCACTGGAAACACATATGACCCTGATGAACTCCTCGAGACTTCTGTTGAGAAACACGGTGATCAAACTGTATGATTTTCTAACCTTTAGTTCTTCGTATGGTCCTATTTTTCCAAATCAATGTTCTTAGCTATGCTCTTTTCTCCTGCTCAAAGGTTAATATTCTGTTTTTGTGTATGCAGTACTATAAATACGTTCTTGAGACTCCGTATGCTCTCACAGGATCACACAATCTTGCTAAGGCAACAGCAAAGGGAAACACAGTCATCCTCTTCGTGGCAAGCGCTAATGATAAGCAGTGGTCGTCATCACAGAAAACTTTGCAAGCTATACTTGATTCCTTCGAAGTTTGATTCATTGTGGAACCAGAAAACTGTTAAGCTATTTAACTTTTGATTTGTATGGAGTATGTCCATCGTGATATAAACTATTTGTAACTTAGTGAAACTATGGTTTTCATGAATACATCTCTATTTATGGATCTATATGCTTCGATTGGAAGTGTAACTTCCATGATGAGGGTTGTATTTTACCATTTGTAGCTTCTCCAGGTTGGTTTCCCTCTAATTCAACTACAACTTCTAAGATAGGAGCATTTACTTTATCATGTCCAATTTTATGTACAATTTTCCTCTCGACACATGTATTAGATCACCTTTAACATTTTCCTCTTGTATAAATGGTATTAGTATGAACCCCGATTTTGTACATCATAGTTGGAGAAAACAGATAGACGCATGAACCTAACTTTTCTTAGACAGCAAAATTCGACGCTACCTGATGCAATCACTATGACATTGAAGGTGAACTGGTGAAGCACATTAAATTGCGTGTTATTCTAATTTTTCTTATTTCACATTATTGATTACTCTCGGCAATGTAAATTACTAAATCCAAATGGAATATGCGATACAAACATACTGGAAGCTATAAATTTATCACTGCATATTAATGACCATAAACCAATGTAACATTCCACATTAGGCGGCTATCCAAAGTTATCCTTAGGCATATATAAGTTATGTAACTAAGCTCTAAAGACTGTTATGGCTCGGATATCTACAAAACTTTCTCAAGAGATACATCTGGCCTTCGTTCGTATCTCATTCCTAGGTACTCACTAGATGAGGACCCGAACCCTTAAAAGGAAGCATGCACGAATATGTTACATACTTGACACTGTCAATTAGTACAACAACGAAAATCCGGGAGAGGGGCTTCACTCCCATCATGCCATCCCCTTCAACATCACCTGCCTCTCTAGGATCAAAAAGAACAGAAACGACCATTGAAGAAATTGAATTGTTTCCGTTCAAGTTCTCTTTCTGTGAATTCCTTTCTGCATGTTCTTTAGAAATGTTATGCGAGGTTCCAGGAAGGGGAATGGGAAAACCACGGAGGATTCTTCTATTCCTTCCCTTACGGTGGTATGTAGAATTCTGAGTCTTTTTAGCTTCTGCAGTAATATTCCCCATAGTAGCCCTAACTAGGGCTCCAGATGCAGAAGCTGATGAAACTTCAAACTGGAACACTTCGGTACACATTCCAGAACTTAACATTGGCCCTGCACGAAGCAAATCAATAAAGCATTAGAATTTGGGAACCATGCATGTGAACCAGAACTTCATGAACATGCACAGATGCCAATTTGAGTCATACATATCGAAGGCTAGAGAAATGTATACTGCTGTTTTTTCCATGATTATTCAACCTCGTCTACTTTTAGTAAACAGAAAAACAGTGATACCATTCCAGAACTAGAAGTTGTGTTGGAACAATGAAATCAATATCAAGTTGTAATGCGATGGAAAGAACCCAATCAGCGCCAACACCTAGAAACAGATTCAAATTGTGCAAAACAGTGGCCCGACCAAATACAATCCCCAGTAGGCATTAGGCAGTTGAAATATCTTAAAATGATGCGAGCAAAAGCAGGAACATGTTGATCAAGCATGAAGATTGCAAAGCCTTTATCATAACTCATATCTACTATCCATGCAGATAAACAACGTCTGCCAAGATAGCTAACATATCAAAAAGACAGCAAGAAATGTAACGACGAAAAATGCTTACCAGCAAGACCTTCACGGAACCACTGTTGAACCCTGCCATCAGCTGCTTTAGACTTTAGATCTCTGTCTGCGGAACTGGAATCAAGAGCCCTTAAGTGAGGAAGTCTACCACCATTTCTACCAACACCAGGAACAGGAATAGCAGGAGCCAAATCTCGAGGAACAGCCAGGCCAGTCTCACCACCTGTCTTGGCTCTGTCATCTTTATGCGAAGCCATGGCTTTCTCGCTTGCCAGAACAGAATGAATAATCAAGTTCCCATCAATCTTAACAAGCTTATCATTCCTGGGAACATACAAAGATGCCACTAGAAGATCATTTCCATTGCCAACACGAGCGAATTCATCCGCACTTTGCCCTCCACCACCGTGACCTCTCCAACCACAACTCTTAGAACAATTAAAATCTCTCCCATCACCGTTTTCGGTTCCATTAACTATCAAAACCCTTCCACGATGCTTCCCATAAAACCCACCCTCAGCATAAGTATCTCCCCCTGTAAATGACTCCGTCACTCCACCATACCTTACATTCACCATTGGTACCAACCCACCAAACAACATTAGAAAAAAGAGCAATCCCAGAAAACTAACACCAGCAACCTTCTTAGTTTTTACCCCATCATTCTTCTTCTTATCGACCTTCTTACTTGGCTTTGGCGCTGCCATGGGCTGTTGCGGTTTCAACCTTGGGATAGGCACCAATGGCTGTGACCCTTGTGGTTTCATCACATAAGGTGGGGGATACTGCATCCATGGATACATCATAGCTGGATGTGGGTATGCTCCGGGAGGTGGCGGTGCAATTGGGGGAGGAAGGCCCGTGCCAGTGCCACCACCCAATTGCTGCCTTAAAGTCGCATTTTCCGCCATGAAGTATGAAATCTTAGCGTTCAAATCTTGAATTGTCGAGTTCATCAACCTCACCTTGTCCTCCAACTCCTCGACGTGGTGCTTCCTTCTTTGCCTTGACAATTGTGCACTCTCTCTATTCCTCATCAACCTTGCCTTCCTTTTCTCATCCTCTTCACTCAACTCACAGCCATTGGTATTATTATTTTCGACGTCGATGCTAGATTTCCTATATTTATTAATTCTTGAATCGATATTGGAATTAGTTGAATCTTCACTCTCTTTTTTCCTCTTCGACGCAGAATTACTTACATCAACATTAGCAGTTTTATCTAATTTAATCTTCTGATCAACAATTGAACAACCATCAAAATTAGGAGAAACATTTACCGATCGAGCATAATTATTCGACTCCACGGAGACATTCGAATCACAATTCTCCGAACCCGAGGATTCAGGCGAAAGGCAATTCAAACACTTCTCGCCGCCACCAGAATTCTCCGAGCTCCGGCGATTCGATCCATTCGACTCCGGGGACGGTAGGTTAAGGTAACCAGAAATTTGAGCAGACTCCGCAGCCAGCAACTCAGAATTCGAAACCCCAGACCCATTCAAGCTCTGATCACCAGAGAAATCCCCATGAACGCCATCACAAAGATGACGTAATTCCACAGAGGTTGACTTGAAAACACTGTAGGGATTTTCCACGTCCGGCCCGGATCCCAGTTGGCCGTTAAACGATTCAGGTTGAACCCGAATCGGGTCGGGGACGGGATCCATGAGGAGATCATCGAGATCGGATGAAGGAAGACAAAGATCGTCGAAGGAGAAATCGAAATCAATGTCTAAGACGTCGTCGTTTCGGTTGTTATCGTTGTTGTTAAAGGATGAGGTCAGGTGCTCGGAAAAGAAAGAAGGATCAAGGGGTGGCATTGAAAGGCCGGAATCAAAATCATTCGCGCCGGTAACGGGCGGCGGAGGGTCGGGGACCACAGTCGGATCAGCCATTACAAGGAAGAAGACCACCGTATTGGGTTCAATCCAACGCTTAATTAAGGGTTTACGGGGTCGAGTGGGTGATACAGACACACATTATATATAGAGGGGGAGTTACAGAGATAAACGCGTTGAATTGGTGTGTAGGTTACACGCTTTTAAGTCATTTTCCTTCTAAATATTTTTCTTTTAAGTAAATAATGCTGATACGGAATTATATTAACTACTATTAATAAATGCGGTTAATTTTGTTTTACAATCTGTAAAAGTTTATTCATTCAATTTTTATAAATATGAACAAATATTTTATAGGGTCAGTTCAAAAAGATTACATAATTAATACATGAATTTGTCTGCAATATCTACTTTGTCGAACAAAGACAATAATATATTATGACGATTTCAAATTGATTATACAATAAATATTTATTTGACATTTATCTTTGATTGGTATAATTTAACAAATTAATCATTTTGGTCGAATAAATAATTAATTTACTTCATGTTTGCTGAAAAAATAAAATCCAGGACAATTG